AAAAAAAATTAAAATAAAATAAAATAAATAAATAAATTTGGGAAGTCTGGTTTTTTTTTAAGTTCTTTACATATTCTTGAACTTCTACATTCTAGATAGTAGCCTGTTGTCTGAGGAACAGTTGGCAAAAAGTTTTTCCCACATTGTAGGTTGTCTCTTAGCTCTGTTGGTGGTTTCTCTTGCATTGCAGAAGCTTTTAAATAGGATAAGATCCTACTTGTTTATTCTCTGTGCTAGTTCCCATGCTTCTGAGGTTTTGTTCATAAAGCCTTTTTCTATGCCATTGTCTTCAAGAGTTCTACTTAACCTATCTTCCAGCAAGCTTAGTGTTTCTGATTTAATATTTAGATCTTTGATCCATTTCAAATTTAGTTTAGTGCATGGTGAAAGATATAGATCTAGTTTTAATCTGTGGCATGTTGAAATCCAGTTTTTCCATCACCACTTATTAAAGAGGCTACGTTTCCTCTAGTCAAGTTCATGGGCTCCTTTTCAAAGATGAGATCTTTGTGGAAAAGACTTTTGACAGATTTGTGTCTGCATCTTCAAATTTATTCCATTGGTCCTCAGGGCTGTGGCTTTGTAGGGGATTTGTGATATAGTTTCATGTTGGGGATTGTGACACCCCCTACCTTATCTCTGTTGCCTACAATTGCCTTTGCTATTCTAGGTCTCTTCTGTTTCCAAATGAATTTTTTTATTGTTTTCTTTAGTTCTGTGAAATACACTGTTGGGAATTCAATTGGGATTGCATTGAATCTACAGAGCAGTTTTGGAAATACGGCCATTTTACTACACTGGTTCTTCCTAACCAGGAGCATGGGATGTTTTTCCATTTTTTGATAGCCTCTTCAATCTGTCTTTTTCAGAGTGCTATAGTTTTCAAGGTAGAGGTCTTTTACTTCTTTTGTTAGATTGATTCCTACATATTTCATTTTTGTTATTGTGAAAGTAATTATTTCCCCAATTTCTCTCTCAGTGAGTCTTTTGTGTACAAGAAAGCTAATTGATTTTTTTTAATGTTTATCTTGTATCCAGCTACTATACTGGATCTGTCAATTAACACTAGAAGGTATTTAGCAGAGTTTTTTTGGTCTTCTCTGTAGAGTATCACATCATCAGCAAATAATGACAGTTTAACTTCTTCATTTCCTATCTTTAGCCCTTTTTTATTTCTTTCTCTTATCTAATTACTGTGGCTAGTGTTTCCAAAAATATATTGAATAGGAGTGGTGATAATGGACATCCTTGCCTTTTTCCCACTTTTAGCATGGAGTAGTTCAGTTTTTCACTATTTAGTATGATGTTAGTTATTGGTTTTTTCATAGACAGCCTTTATCAGATAGAGATAAAGGCCATCTATTCAGATTTTCTACAGGGTTTTTATCATGAATGGGTGTTAGATTTTGTCAAATGCTTTTTTTTTTTTTTCTGTATAGGGGATCAAATTCAGGACCTTGAGCCTATAAGGCAGGCAGTGGCACCACTGAACTAAATACCTGACTCCTGTTGAATGCTTTTTCTGCATCTATTGAGATGATCATATGGTTTTTGTTCTTGAGTTTGTTAATATACTATATTACATTTATAGATTTCCACATGTGTTGAACCATCCTTGCATCCCATGTATGATCTTTTTTTTCTTTTTTTTTTCTTTTTTTTTTTGTACCAGGGATCAAACTCAGGATCTTGCACTTGTGAGGCAGGTGTCAGAACCACTGAGCTAAATCCCTGGCCTTGAACTTCTTGATGATCTTCTGCATTCTATTTGCCAATATCTTATTTAGGATTTTTGGATCTATGTTCATTAGTGAGATTGGCCTATAGTTCTCTCTTTTTTGGTTGGGTCTTTCTCTGCTTTTGGAATCAGAGTAATGTTTGCTTCCAGAAATGGGTTTGGGAGAATTGCTTCCCTTTCAGTTTCATCAATGAATTTGAGAAGTGGTGGCATTAGCTCTTCCCTAAATTTCTTGTAAAATTCAGCAATAAAGCCAGTAGGACCAGTACTTTTCCTTGTTGGTAAATTTTTAATTACATTTTCAATTTCACTGATTAAAATTGGAGTGTTTAAAATTGTTATATCTTCTTTTTTCAGCTTTGGTAATTCATATGTATTTAATAATCTGTCTGTTTCTTCTGGGTTTTCTGTCTTATTGGAGTACAGGTTCTTGAAGTAGGTATTGATGATCCTCTGGATTTCTGTTGGATCTGCAAATTTTATTTATTCTTTCAAATAACCAACTCTTCAACTCATTGATTTTTTGTGCCGTTCTCTTAGTCTCCACTGCATTGATTTCTGCTCTGGTCTTTATAATTTTCTCTCTGTACAAGCTTTGTGTTTGTCTTGCTCTTCTTTTTCTAGGGGCTTGCAGTTAAGCATTAGGTTGTTTGTTTGAGCTTGCTCCATTTTCCTATTATGGACATTTATTGCTGTGAATTTCCCTCATAGAGCCGCCTTCATTGTGTCCCATAGATTTCTCTATGTTGTATTGGCATTATCATTTAATTATAGAAACTGTCTAATTTCTTCTTTAACTTCCTCTGTGACCCATTGGTTGTTCAGGAGAGAGTTATTCAATTTCCATGCATTTGTGAAGTTCTTGCAGTTTCTTAGGCTACTGATATCCAATTTCATTGTGCTATGGTCTGATACTGTGCGGGGGATAACTTTGATTCCTTTGCATTTACTTAAACATGTTATATAAACTGGCATGTGGTCTATTTTGGAGAATGACACATATGCAGTGGAAAACAATGTGTATTCTGATTTTGTAGGATGGACACTTTGTTGACATCTACTAAGTTCATTTGTTCAATAGTTTGGTTCAGTTCTAGTATTTTGTTGTTTAATTTCTGTCTAGATGATCTGTCTATTTGTGACAGTGGAGTATTGAGGTCCCCCACTACAACTGCATTAGTGCTTATTTAATTTTTCATTTCCATTAATATTTGTTGTGTATAGTTGGGAGCACTAGTATTTGATGCATATATGTTTATGATTGTCAGCTCTTCCTCTAGACCTGTTCCCTTCACGAGGGTGCAGTGACCTTCTTTGTCTCTCTTAGTTTTGCTAATTTAGACAAAAATATTTTGAAAAGAAGAAACGATAGCAGCTGGCTTTTTGCTGCTGTGACAAACTACCTGATACAACCTAAAAGAGGTTTATTTTGGCCAATGTTTTCAGTGGTGTCAGCCCATGGTCCCTCAGCACCATTGTTTTAGGGGCCTTTAGGGAGGCACATCTTTGAGAAGCACATGATGGAGCAAAGATGTTCACCTCATGGTACCTAAGAAGAAAAGAGAGAGAGAGCAGAGGGCCTGGGGGTTCCAATATCCCCTTCTAGGACACACTCCCACTGATGGAATATGACTAATTTCCTCCTGCTAGGTCTGCTTCCTAAAAGTTCTGCCCACTTCCAACTGTGCCACTAGCTAGTTACAGGAAACCCTTAGTGTATGGCCTTTGAGCCACATGTATGATCCGAACCATGATACTTTTCCTAAAAAGTGCATTTCTCATTAAAAAAAAAAAATGTGGTCCAGAATAAAGCAGTATAACATTTCACAGATAATGAAAGAAAAGAACTATAAGCCAAGAATACTATATCCATTTAAAACATATTTAAAGAATGAAGGAGAAATCAAATCACTCTCAGATGAATTAAAAGTTTGTTACCAGCAAGCCTATTCTAAAACTATGACTAAAGGGAGCTCTATAAATAAGAAATTGTTCAATTTCAGGAAAGAAAAAAGAACAAGGTAAGCAAATATATAAATACAATCTTCTCTTGAGTCTGAAAAAATGTTTTTAAGATTGACTTAATTCTAAGTGTATGTAGAGGAAATATTTAATGCCGATTTAATATACTATACACATATCATAAATAAAGGAAGTTAAAGAAATTTCCATACTTTGCTTGAACTAATAAAATGGTGACAAGTCAGTGGTTCTGTCACCTGATTGCTAAGCACAAGGTCCCGAGTTCAATCCCCAATACCCCCTCCCAAAAAAAATAGTGACACTAGTGATGTTCATGGCTTCCTGGGATTCGGACAGGAATGTCTTTGGGAAGGTATCATTCCACCCACCACCAAACAAAACCTCCCAAATACCAAGGAATATAGTAACAAAAAGTGTGTTACATTTTATGGAACAATTTTGTAATCATAAAAAAGACAAATAAATACAGTTATATAATTTTCATGTATGGGAAACAATACTGCAAAGATGTTACATTTCTTGAAATAATCTATTTTTCATGAGATTTAGCAAGCAGTCTTAAAATCCATCTGGAGTATAAAAGATAAACAGCACCCACTCAAGGTAATTTTGAAATAAAATAAGGTCATAGAATTTGTCCTATCATAAAAATATTTATTTTAAATTGTATTAATAATAATAATACAGTTATAGAAAACCAAATTAGAATAAAAGATCTGGCTTTTATTGGTAAGCTTGAAATAAGACATGAGTGGCATGTTCCAATAAATCAATGGGGAAAGGATAGGGGATTCAATAATATATATTTATCAAATTTTTAATAGATCCCAAGCCCTGGCACATGCACAAAAATATAATAAAATCCAGAAGCTTAAAAACTAACTAATAAATATATAATATGTCTAAATGAGTCTAATTGTCTTTATAGATGTCCAAGAACAAGTAAAGCTCTCATCAACGGTGGAAGAAATTAGAAAGTGGTTGGGGATTCAAAGTAACTGATGTGGGGCCAGGGATTTAGCTCAACAGCATAGAGCCTCCAGAGTTTGATCCCTGGTACAAAAAAAAGTAACTGATGTAAAAAAAAGTAAGAATTTAAAATAGGTTTCTGAAGTTACACAAAAAAAATTTGTGAGATGAGGTTGCACAGGTGTACACAATTTTTAAAACTCATTGAATTATATGCTCCAGATCTGTGCATTTATTACACATAAATCATAATAATTAAATATCCCAAAATCATTACATGCAGATAAACCATGCATGGTGGTATACACACCTACAATCTCAGTGCTGCAGCGGATGAGGCAGGAAGAATTGTATTCAAACCCAGACTGAGCTAATTATGTTTTTTTCTGAAAAAAATCAAATAGGAAAAATTCGTAAGTGTAGAAAGAAGAAAACACACATTTAGAATTTTCACAGCATTAATGCAGAGAGTGTGTGTGCATGTGTGCACGTGTGTGTGTGTATGTGAAATTTCTGTAAGCCATTTACAAAAAATGTAAGATTGCACCAAGGTCAAATATTCTGTAGAATTCATTATTGCCTAAGTAGTTGCTGATTTTTTTTAAAAGACGGAGACCCATTGTGGCTGAGACTTCTCATTATATTCTCTTTGTTTGAAATGTTTCACTATGTGTAAGGTGACAGATGCCATCAACAGGAAGCTGTATTTTGTAGCAATATATGGCAGTTTTGCTACTGAAATAAAGAAAGTAGAGTTTTCTAAAGTTGCTTATTTTAAATTTATTATAACTGTGGATAGCAGCAAATGATTGAGAGGCACTCATCAATGAAACCAAAGAGTTTGTGAAATCATATTAAACAAATCTTACATGCTATCTGCCAAAAAGCTAGTAAAAGATGAAAGGGAAAATACAAACTCAGCATTCAAAGAAATTATAGACTACACTTTAGATTTACATTCTCATGAAAGGCGGGGAAGAAAAGCTGTCACTCATACAAAGAAAATCAATGAATATTATTTCTTTTATGTACATTTTACTAAGCTACTCCAGCCTGAAAAAAAACAAGAAATTGTTTCCCAAAGTTTGTAGTTCTAGGGCTTCTGAAAACAAATTTACTTTATTAGTCCCAATCAAATAGCCTTAGAAGATATGCCAGTAGGACAAACAACTATAATGAAATTCCAAACTTTAGATATTATTTATTTTCTGCAATTGTGTGACTGAACCAAGTAGGAAATATATGAAAGGGAAAATGTAAGATTCCACCAAGGTCAAAAGTCTTTGAGATATAGACAGGAAAATGTTTACATTTTTTATAAGCCAAAAGAATACAAAATCTAATCCAATGATACCACCACCTGGGTGGGAGATACATAGGGCCTGAACTAGAGCCAAGAATGTCTTGCCTTGTGATATGAATTCAGTGTGTAGGGCTGTGAGATCACCCCATATGGGAGTCAATGATTTTGCCATTGTGGGTGGGACAAAGGTGGCCTAGAAGAAGTCGGGTAAATTTGAACTGAAATCTCTGGTTGTCATACAAATTCAGCTGAGAAGCTATTTCCAATGGCTTGAGATGAAATCGTTGTTGCCTTATTGGAAGTATCAAACTTAAGAATACAAATATTTAAGATAATCATATTGGTATTCTCCATGACTTTTCATGCTTCTGAACAGCATGTTAGCATAGGTCCAATTGTATAACTAACAGAGACTTTGTCTGCCTCCAAAGCAAAGGACAGGAAAACTCACTGGTCATTCTGAAAAACATGGACTTCCCGTACTCAAGGTCCCTCTCTGTACCATCACCACTATAGTTTTAGGTAAGACATGGCCTTCTTGTATCATACAACTAATCGGGGCTCATGGAATGAGTGGCAAAATCAGTAAATTTTGGGTCCCAGTTAAAATATTTCTAAATACCCAGTAAACAAATTATGCTAAATAAGTAGCTGTTAAGTAACATTATCTATAGATTTTCATCCCAAATAGCCCACATAAGCTGACCTGAAATATCATTTATAATAGCAACATAGTAAATTATATTCCTAGAAAAAGATTAATAAACACACACAGCCTACAAAAGAAAGATCTTGAAGCCAATTTATTTGTCTTAATACACGTAGTTCTTAGAAACCCCAAAGGTCCTAAAGATGCTATTATCAAACAAATAAATTTCAGTAGCAATATGGCTGATAGCTCAGGAAATGGGTGAAAGTAGAAAGAAGCCACAAAGAAGTTCAATAGTACAGATGCTTGATCCTGATTTGGATGGATAAAGGAGGGTGTGCAGAGAAGCAGCAGGCATTGTCTGCATTCTAACGTGCTGAATTCATCTCTGTAGTTACCATGACTGCCTACAGCAAATGTGGGAACCATTATAACTTACTGCTACCTTATCTGTAATCTTCTTTGCATGTCACATTTCTACAAATTTTCTTAAACTATGTGCACACCAATTATACGTGGGCTTCTGTTTCTCTTCCTCTGTAAAGAAAGCAAACTGTTTATATTCACATCAACTCTGCTGGCCATGACATTTGGGGAAGGTTTCTTTCTCCTACTGACAATATTTTTTCACCAGCTAAGTGTTTTGCAATTCAATTCAATTCTGACTCTACCTACCTGCAAATAGCGTTCAATCTCATAGTCCCAAAAGACTAACCTATCTCCAACTTGGGACACCAATTTCAAGGTCAGGTTGGGGCTTTTTTTTTCTTTTTCTTTTTTTTTCATTAAATTTATTGGTGCTTTTTAGGTATACAGTACAGTTACAATCTTCATTGGAATCTTGTACCTTTACATGATGTATCTTGGTTCTCATTTTTCCCCACTCCCCTGCCCTCCCTTAAAGTCAGGTTGTTAACTGTGCTGCTGACTAACCAGCTACAAACTCAGAAGTTCCCCATGACCCATTTCTTGGGTTTGCTGACTTGCTAGAATGGATCATAGAGCTCAAATGATTGTCTGTTTGCCCTGTTGCTATTATCACACAACAATGTCATGCAGGAGCATCCAGATGAAAGGGTTGAAGAAGGAAAGGTATGGGGAAAGGGGTGCACAGCTTCCAGGTCCTCTCCAAGAGCACCAAGTTCCCAGCATCTCTGTGCTCGCCAACCCAGAAGCTCCCCAATTTCATAATTTATGGAATTTGGGGGATAGTACATTACAAAAAAATGACTAATTAAATATAATCTCTGGCTATTGGTACTTAACTCTCAGCCTATCTCCTTGTCCCAGAAGATATATGAAGTTCCAACCTTCTAATTGCATGGCTGTTACATTGGCAATCAGCCCCCATCCCAAAGCAACCCAGGAGATCCTAGCTGTCAGTTATCTTATTGGCAGGCAAAATGACTGAAAACTTCAGATACTCCAAGGGTTTTAGGGACTTTGTCCTAGGAAATAAGGGCAGAAACCAGCTTATTTATCATGTGACTCTACAGCTTTAAAACTCCCTTGGCCCAAGACCTCCAGAAGTATATTTTCTATAGTCTAAGAAAATATATATACACTTTTCTGCCTAAAGAAAAAGCTTTCATACAAGAAAGTTTAACACTAGAATGTATTTATCAGGACAGACAATACTGTTTTTACTGCTGACAGACTAAAGGTCATGGAAATCTTTATCTGCTTTCTTTCATGATGCTAGATAATTTATACTATCAGCCTCCAAGTTTTCATTAGCTAACATCTTAAGATTTCACTTTTAGGAGTTAAGAAAACAATTCTCACAAGAAATTCTTCCCTGAAAATAAAATAATTTCTGCAGCCAAAAGGCAAGTCAAACTTCACTAAACTACTGTGTCATGAAATGATAAGGGCAAATCACTGGTGACATTTATGACCACAAGCTTAAAATCCCAATGATATATGTTCTGCCCTTTTCTGTAGCCTGAGGCTCTTAACTTCCTAAATGAATCCATTTTCACAATTAGAAAAAGTGAACTTTTCATCCCTAAGGTGACTGATCAATTCAAGAAATATCCTTTATCTCATTCTTCAAAATCTCCACAGTTAGAGAAAACTCTCTTCCCCGGTTCCAAATCTTTTTTCAGATACATTCTCACCATGTGCTTTCACTATAGCATGGGGAGGAAATAAATCACAAGGCAGGTGTCTTCGTGGCTGTCATAGTCTCTGCTGATATTAAAACAATCCCCACTGGCTTTTGGCTTTTAAACACAATAAGTTAACTTCTTTTCTACTGTCATTCCATAACAGTTGCTTATAAAAATCAAAATGATCATGGATAGTTTTCATAAACTCATTATACTACTGACCAAGCTAGAGGTCCTCCAACACCTTTCTCTCTCCCTAAGATTCAATAGTGACATCCAGTATGACTTTTACTCCAATTAGCAATATTCAGCGTGACCTCCAGATACCAGATCATTTTGGAACATAAAATACATCTATAAATCTCTGGTATTATCTTCTGTCTGGAAGGAGAGAAGAGTGTGGCTTAGTTGCTAGAAGTTCAAGAAACAGTTGAGTTAACAGGGTGCTCACCAGCCGGAGGCTTTAAATTGACACCCTAATTTTCATTTTGTCAAAATCACATAGCTACTTATTGACAAAGCAATTACTATGACCCAGGTTTCCTGGTTATTTGGACAAACAAAGTCTGATTTATTTTATATTTGATTCATTTGGAATTGCACAGGAAATAATTTTATCTCCTACTTCCCATGAATGGTAATTGTTTCCAAACATGTCTAATTAATTTTCTAGGATACTTTAAATGATATATTTAACTGAAATGCCATATACTGACTTCCATTTATTTTGATACATCTTGTCCCCAAGGTGCTTTAGAGGATCTTCAAGCCAATATAAATATTTCATAAGTATTTGACCATTTGGGTATATATTTACACAACACCTCACATCTTATGTCTAATTATTTTTAATTGCATTCCTTCAGGAGGCTATCTTTTTATTTTATTTGTATGATGCATATTTATCAAAAGGTCTTGACTCCATGTAATCTACCCCAGGAAGATACTGGTTCTCTATTCAGCATTTAGTGAGCCTGCTTATTTTTTGTCAAGGAGTTTATATGAACAGTACAGTGTCTTCTTATGAGTATATATTTGTGAAACATAATAATTATATTTATCTTAGGGAATTGGTATATATACACGTTGCATCTTACAATCTTTCCCTTAAGTACCCATCTCAATCCAAAAGGAACACAGATAGGCAAACAAAGAATCACCTCTGCAGGATGAAAATGAAGTAAAAGAAACATGAACAAATGCAGGACAATAAAAGCAGAAAAATCACTAGCACTGTTTGCATGGAGAGGAAAAAAAGATGTAAGTTCTTTTTTAATGATATTTGTGCTTTGTTTTAAGGA